CAGAAGTCTAGCGCCATTTCCCAGGTCTTCCTCCCATCAAACACCTTTGCAGCTCAACTGCTCCCCATCCCTACATTCTTGGAACACTGACCATATCTGGGTAACTTTCAGTTATGACATATTCTCTGGGCCAATGCTCTTGGGACTGACTGATTCATTAGCACAAGTTATCAGGGAACTAGTGACAGGCATCTCTGAATAAGGTCTTCCTCTCCAACGCGTACATTCAGGTAGATCAAACCCTTCTCTCACCATGACTACCAACACTTCCTTAAACTATTTAATTGAAAGAGTTGGAAAACCATAAATCATCCCTAACTTCTAGCACAGTCAAATCACAAGTTTGCTGCCCACAGAGACTGGTTTTAAACCTTTTGTCTCCCATGCTTCAGATGTGAGGACCCATTCAGTATTGGACCTTGCTCTGAGATCTAAATCAGTACCAACGTTTCCCATATGTCTTCTAAAAACTACAAAGACTTCATTCCCAGCTCACTTACTTCTGAAGAGCCCTTTGTACATGGTGTCAAACAGCTGTGACCCTTTTAAGTTGTGAGGCTGGAGGGTCAACTCAGGCTCATTCCCTTGCTTCTAGACTGCTGCTTTTTAATTGCTGACTCCCACTTTATAGTCAAGCCAATTAGTAGCCTTGGCCAAGCTGGGGAGCTTAAAGGCCTGGAACAATAACACTTAAGGCAGCCTGTGGAAAACAGGAAGCCTCAACTGGCAGAATTTCCCTCAAGTGAAAAAGTGATACCTGGCCAACTAATGTCAGAAGTCTAAGAAATGGATGTCGCAGTTCCAGAGAGTTCCCAGAAGTATCAGCAAGTACCTGAACCCCCCTAAACTGAGTAGCAGGACCAGAAGCCTGACATAAGATAGGAAAAACTTTATAAAGGGACTATTTCACTTGTCATCCGATTTAGTGAGCATTATTATCCACTTCTGTCTCTAATGAGCTTAATAACTACTTTTAGAGCCGAAACACTTTCCGGTAATATGCTAGTTGTTGAAAGGATGTTGGATCTAAAGCTGGGCTGGCCCCACAGCCTACAGTGTTACTGGTTCACTCCAGGAACTCTAAAAGAGCCAAGACCCGGTTAACAGAGAGTAAAAGAAAGGGGTGGTGAATAATCTGGGCTTATTTACATATGAAATACAAACATGCATTTAGCCTTAGGCCTCCAGATCTTGATTATGGGCTGGTTGGCAACCAAGCCCATATACTCCTGAAAAAAAAAAAAAAAAATACAGCAAAAAGGACTTAAGAGTTTGAATTGGGCGGGATTTTTTAAGGATTATTTTATTTAACTTTATTTATTCATTTTAATTTGACCAGACCAGAGAGGGACAGAGCGAGAGAGCGAGAGAGAGAGAGAGAAAGCAAGCTGCCAGGTTCGGAAAGGGAACCATAGCTGGCCATGTGGGAGTCCAGTGCCCTTAACCACCATGCCACCTGCCAGCCCCCTGAATGAGGCTTTTACAAAAATTTGGAACTTCCACCTCCTTTTCATACCACTACCTTTCAAAATAAACCACTCATCTAGGAATTAAGATAGTCTGTTTTGGAGAAGCTTAAATGTCATATAAGGCGCTCATTAATTCTCCTTGATACCTCTGTGAAGGGGTTACTTGAGCATTATTTGGTTCACAGAGTAATGTTTCTGTGCCAAGAAAGGAGTGCCCAGCTCAGAGGGCCCTGGGTGACAAAGGGGAAGGGCTCAGAATACATAGCTCATACCACAGCCCTGCCTCTCTTACCTTGCCCAGTCCCTTTGAGAGGGAACATTTCTGCTGAAGGCCAGCCCTGGTGTTTATTATAGCTTGTGTTTAGAAGGAAAAAAGAATCACTTAATGTTTTTGTCCTGACAATGAATCTTAGTTCTCTACCAAAAGGAAAACTTGTGGGGGTGGGCAGGGGTGAATGAAAGCGGAAAATTTCCAAAACTCTTGGCCTACTTAATTGCCCTGACAGCACATAGTTACTGTGCTTGAGAGAGGGAGGGGGTGGACTGTTTCTTTCCAAAGGAAGTGTAATTAGTTAGCCAGTTCAAATATTATCAAAGAGATTTAGAAAATGGTTAACAATTTTTAAAATGTCACCAAGGCATCTAATCTTCAGTGATTTCTATTATTAAGAAGATCCTGTAAAGGCCCTAAAAAATCCCTATTACAACAAGCCCTACCATTGAGCAAGAACTCTAGGGTAAGAACTACTCTGGCCTTTTTACACACATTGGGACTTCTTTCATCACATATCTCTCAGTATCTGGGGTCCTCTTTTACAGTAAATGACTTTGCTAATCTGAGGGGAAGTTCACTTTCTCCAGTTCTCACACTCTTGCCTTAAGCGGCCTGGTTTTTACTGGTTTCTACGGTTATGCACTTGCGCAAACCAGCGAGGTACTTGCCTGTGCTCTTGGTAATTCCCTGATGCCTTTACTGCACCGGATCCCTCAAGGGCCAATTTTTTTTTTTTTGGTGGAGTCAAACAAACACAAACTAAATTAATGGGAAGGTTTTACCATTACATTTCCTCACAGAAAAAGAACTTGTTCTGTTGTTTCAAGTTTAAACAGACTATATATATTGTTTGTTTGTTTGTTTTTGTTACAGCACCAATAAATTTCAGGGCTGGGAAAAATCATGAATCACCAAGTCATTCCTCCTCATGTAGCTGAAGTATCTTTTTCCTGTTTCTCAGGAAGTTAAGACAAAATAGCACCTAATTGACCTAAGCACTCTTACACAGAAAAGCCCACAGCAAAGAGAAGCTAGTGGGAGGGGCCAGCAGGTGATGTGGTTAAGGTACAGGACTTCCATATAGTAGATCTCGGTTCAAATCCCCGACTTGGTGGCTTGCTTTCTCATCTTCCCCCTCTCTCTATCTCTGTCTCTCTCTTGTGAGTGTATGTGCCCTACAGCTAACTTAAAAAGAAATCGATTAAATAGAATAAATAATTATTTAAAAAAAAAAGAGAGAGAGAGATGCTGGTGGGAAAGGATTATGGGCTAGAGACCTTCGTTCTCCAATTAACAACTGTGAGACTCCTTTCAGCTTACCCAGTGACCCATATTCATGTTCTGAGTGCATGTGCTCCTTTAATAACTTCCCCCCACTAGATAGCTCCTATCAGTCACTGGGGGTTTAGATTTCACCCTCGGGATAAGAGGTGTTTGTGAGAACACTGAAACCTCTGAAGGGCAAAGTACTGTGGACTCGACTTAACAACCTCCACGCATATTGAGGGGACCACATCTCTCAGCCAGTCATCAAAGCCTGCCAACAGTAAAAGAAAGTGAGCCACAGTTGGGTATGATCTTTCTCCCCTAAGAAGAAAATTTTCTAAAACTGTAAATGATGGCTGGGGTGTCAGGGCACCTGGGTCTTGCGCCCCATCACAGTCTGTTATTAACTATTTCATAAGCAGAATTCAAGGAGTTTCGGCTGTTGTCACCTCTTCCGTGAACTGTCACACCAACCTGTTCAGTGTCTCCCTATCACAGGGTTCTGCTACCCTATTCCAGCCAACGTTTCCAGGCGTGGGTCGCCACCCCAGGCAAAAGCTCAACTGGGCACTCAGTCCTCCTCACCGGCCCTAACCGAATTCTCCAAACTTTCTTTCCCCAAAAGGCCTCTGCACTCACGGCTCAGGACCTCCTTCCCCGGAGCCTCTGCCTCTCCCTATTACCCTCTCTTTCCTTCTCCCCACTCTTCCAACCCTCACCGCGGCGGGGCGACTAGTCCCCTCCCCTCAAGAACCGGCTCAGATTTCACTTCCCACCACAGTTATACTCAGATGCCAGTCACTGCTCACGACCGCGGCCAGGCTTTCCCCGCGCCAACACCTCCCTGGCACACCGCAGCCATGGAGCGCCCGGCTTTGCCTCCCCCACTTCCAGTTCAACCCCGACCCCGGCTCCAAACAGGCCCAGCTCAGAGCATCGAGAGCAGCGCCTCAGACCGCAGCCCAAGGCCAGGAAATCCAGAAGCCTCCCTCGGAGGTCTCCCGAGACAGGGCGTGGCGAGCGCTGCTGCGGGCCCTCTGCCTCCTCGCAAGGCAAGACCGCAGAAACGCGAAGCCCCGGAATCCACCGCTGAGAGGCCGGGCAGGGGGCGCGGCGGCCGGAGCCCCGGAGCAGCCGCCGACGGCCGGGGCGGGCATCC